CTCTGTATCTAGCAAAGTAGTCCATGTTTGGCACTTCTGTCTAAAAATCAGTTTTCCAAAACGATTTGTCAAATTTGGACTCTTTGATGATTCATCGGTCTTGCATTGCACTCCGCGAGATTAGATACAGGACCGTGACATTGAGTCTGAACTGTAGTGAGCCCAAATGGACAAAACGGGATTTCCTCCCGGGGTGTTCGGGGACGTCTACAATATGTTTTTATCATTTATCATTTTCAATAACTCAGAAATGACACTGTTAAATTTTTTAAAAAAAAATTGTAAACTAAAAACAAATTGAACAATTTTATTCCCAATGAAAGCCAAGCATCCTATTAAAGAATTAGGATACCTTTAATGGGTTAACATGGTGCATTGAAATGTTATGGACAGCAACTGCAAAAAACAAAAAAATAATAAAATATTCAAATAGCTCTAACTATTCAAATCCTCCCATAAGCAAAATATGAATCAACCCTTTTGGATCCATTTGGTTTGCTCATGGGAAGCAGCCAACGCACTGCCACAACAAAAAACAAAATTTGGAATAAAAAAAAATAGAAGTAAAAATTAGGCCACAATATTGATATTGATATTGATATTGTGCACTATTTGGACACCGAAATTGCTTAAGAGGATGACACACCACGGTTATGTAGTGAAGAAACAACTCATTTTAAGGGAAAAAGAGAACTGCTCATCAATTGATGAAGTGAAGAAACAACTCATTTTAAGGGAAAAGAGAACTGCTCATCAATTGATGAAGACATTGTTAAAATATTGATGAAATTGTTTATCAAATCAATTGACAGAACCCAAGACATGAAAGAAAGCATAGCATACCCACAAAAACACAAAAGCATGAGAGAGAGAGAGAGAGAGAGAGAGTATCCAAATGGAACTTAATTTAACAATACTAAGAATGGGAATAAAGGAAAGACTTACTGGAAAAGAGTTGTTAGAAAAGGGAAAACTTGCAGCTCTCAACCTTGGTCCTCGATGGACTTTGGGGGCCTACAACTCGAAAAATAAAATTAAAAGCATCAGAGAGAGAGAGAAAGAGGCAGTGAAAGTTTTAAATTTTTAATCTCCGGCAAATGAAAGTTTCAAATGATCTTAATAAGTAAATATAAGATTAGAATGTTTCAATCTCAGGCCTATGCCATTCCAAAGATTAGAAAATATAAGTAAGCAAGCTACATCATCCCTTGTCCAAAATTTGCCACTGTTTATTATTAAAAATAGCATCCAACTCCCATTATTTGTATCACCAATTTGAATATACCTCTATTTTTGCTAAACCTTATCACCAATTTAAATTCACTCACAATTTTACAAAAAAGTAGAATTATATAAGCAGCTAGCATTAAAAATTAAACTATTTTCATTGAGGCATTTTACTGAACATGGTGTATGCATGAAGACACACATAAAATATAGAACGGTACAGAGACAGATTTTAATTGAGGCAATATAAATGAGAAACAAATCACATAATATAAATGAGAAACACAATCAAACCCAAATGAGAAACAAATCACATAAAATTTAGACACCCAACGAAAATCCAAATAAAAATTTTGAGGCATTCTGGAGACCCATTTTAGAAAAATATTTCAGAGATTTTATCATTTATCATTTTCAGTAACTTAGAAATGACAATATTAAATTAAAAAAAAATTCGTAAACTAAAAATAGATTGAACGATTTTATTCCCAATGGAAGCCAAGCATCCTATTAAAGACTATACCTTTAATGGGTTAACATGGTGCATTGAAATGCCATGGACAGCACCTGCAAAAAACAAAAACAAAAGAATAAAATATCCAAATAGCTCCAACTATTCAATCCTCCCATAAGCAAAATATGAACCAACCCTTTTGGATCCATTTGGTTTGCTCATGGGAAGCAGCCAACGCACTGCCACAACAAAAAACAAAATTTGGATTCCACAAAAAAAAAAAAGAGTAAAACTTAGGCCACAATATTGATATTGATATTGTGCACTGTTTGAACACTGAAATTGCTTAAGAGGTTGACACACCACGGCTATGTAGTGAAGAAACAATTCATTTTAAGGGAAAAAGAGAACCGCTCATCAATTGATATTGTTAAAATATTGATGAAATTGTTTACCAAATCATAACATATCCACAAAACCACAAAAGCATGAGAGAGAGAGAGAGAGAGAGAGAGAGAGTACCCAAATGGGGGCCTACAACTCGAAAAATAAAATTAAAAGCACAGAGGGAGAAAGAGGCAATGGAAGTTTTAAATCTTTAATCTCAGGCAAATGAAAGGAAAGAAAAATTTATATAATATTTTAAAACAGGTAAAACAATTTACACCTTAATTAAAAAATAGAAAATAAATAAACCTCTATCATTAAAATAGGTAAAACAATCAAACAATAGATCATTGAAAAAGAAAAATCTTCTATCATTAAAACAAACATTGCAAAATCAATAAACATTGTGAAGAAGAAAGAAAAATTTATATAATATCTCTTTTCTATGACATGAAAATATTACTTCAAACCCCAATGACAACATTTTGAGATTAATGTTGGGATGACAGTTGCTATAAAATTGATGTTAGGATTAATCCCAAGATTAATCCCAATAGCTGCAAACGTTTTGTCCCAAGATTAATCCGAAGATTAATGTTGGGATGATAGTGTATTCCCGTAATAAAATTGGACAGGAGAAGATTGGACAGGAGAAAATTAATCCCAAGATTATTTCTCCTTTATTTTGTACTTTTGTAAGAAGCCATCAATTACATTAACTAAGACAATTTTAAAAATGAAATTGTTGCCCTAAAAATTGGCCAAAGTTAAAAGGATTTGAAAGTCGTTCAATAGCCATTCTAATATCGATACCTGAAATTAAAAAAAAATAAAAATTAAATTTGAAAAATAATAATAAAGTTAGATTAGATGGATTAAAGCAAAAATGTCTAATGTTCAGTATTTTCAAATCAATGTCACATAGTATGTAATAAACTTTCGAATTGTCTAACATCACTTGCCATCACACACAGTCCAACTCACTTTCTTTGCATATTTCTTTGTCTAGTTTTACGACCTTTATTATGTACTTGACAAAAAATGAAAACACTTGTTTTCCTTTAATAACTAAACCAGGTAAGAAGAACAATGGGACAACAAAAACTCTACACCATAATTTTGTTGTCCACATATTCCAAGAGGTTAAAAAAGAGAAAACATAAATAGAGAGGAAAAAAGAACCTACAACTTTAGTTTTCTCTTAAATAAAATGTAAATTTATAAATCCTGAAAAGCCAATTTAAAAGACAATTAGACATCAATTTTTATTTTGACAATGGGAGATTCCAAAACTTAGCACAAAGTTATTTCCAAAGCAATTCAAAATTTACCAACGTATATTGTCTTAACAAAGGCATTTTGTTACTAAGATTAGTCTGTGTGTTCACCAAAATAAAAAAAAATAAAAAAAAATAAAAAAAAGAGATTTATCTATGTTTATCTTCATTTTTCTTTTCTTTTCTTTTTTCAATCCTTATTATGCACATTTTCTTTTTGGTTTAAATTTTCAACACATACTCCCAACAATCACCAAATGAAAACACTTGTTTGCCACTTGAGATTAAAAATGAAAACACTTGTTTTCCTGTACTTGCCATCCTTGTCTAGATTAATCCCAAGATTGGACTGGAGAAGATTAATTCCAAAATGCCTCAATCTCAGGCCTATGTCATTCCAAAGATTAGAAAATATAAGTAAGCAAACTCCATTAAAGATTAAAAATAACATCCAACTCCCACTGTTTGTATCACCAATTTGAATATACCTCTATTTTTGCTAAACCTTCCTTGGCCTGTTATAATAAATTCACTCACTATTTTAACAACAAAAATGTAGAATTATATAAGTAGCTAGCATTAAAAAGAGAGGCATTTTAATCTTGGGACATTTTAGCGTGTAATGTTATAAATTCGCTCACTATTTTAATTAAGTGAAATGGAGAATGGTTTAGCAATCAACCATGGCTTAGATCAACAGACATTAGAAGGAAAAACATAATACATTTTATTTATTCAGCGGACATTTTATAAATTCACTCACTATTTTAATTGAGGCATTTTACCGAACATGGTGTATGCATGAAGACACACACAAAACATAGAGGGGTAAAGAGACAGATTTTAATTAAGGCAATATAAATGAGAAATACAATCAAACCCAAATGAGAAACAAATCACATAAAAATTTTGAGGCATACAAAGAGACCCAATCATTTATTAATTTTGAGACCTAATCATACAAAGAGACCCAATCATAAAAATTTTGAGGCATACAAAGAGACCTAATCATATAAAAATATTTCAGAGACCTAATCATTTATCATTTTCAGGACATAGTGAAAATATTTCAGACCCTAACTATTAAATATTTCAGACCCTAACTGTTAAATATTTCAGAGACCCAATCATACAAAGAGACACACATAAAAAATTTGAACCGAGAAACATAGATCTACCTTGCATTTGATCAAACAGTGCACTCGAATCTCATGAGTGATACCGATCTCTTTCTCGCTGGTTGCGCTACCTTGCATTTGATCAAACAGTGCACTCAAATCTCAACCAAGTTGCCATAAAACCAAGAACGAAGAGTGGGTAGAAGAGATAGAGAGAGAGAGAGAAACCAGAGAGAAGAGATTAAAATTTGAAAACCAGAGAGAGGAGGACGGCTGTGAGAGAGAGATAGGGAGGTGTGTTTGGTACTCATTAGGAGGAATCCAAAGAGGCAGACTATGCTAGATTTTGATTTTGGCCCTTAGATTTTGATTAAGATTGATCTGAATCGTTGATATAAATGTATCTCTATCACAATTTCTTGCCACATAGGACATTTTCAAAAACTCTTCTCTCTTATTATATAGATTAGTTGTAGAGAAATTATCAATTCATGTAAGGCTGATGTTTTTAATCTTAATGCTTTGTACAGGTGACAGAGGCATCAGAATTTGGTGAGGAGAATAGTTCTAAAGGCTTCATCAATAGAGGTAATCAAGATTCCATCTCTTTTTTGCTTCTATTTTTTATTATGTTATAAGTTGATGATTTAATCTTTTTATAGCGATCCCGGTTGTCCCTTTACTGTTCTGTTGTATTCCGGACTCGGTTCCGTGATGTTGGTGGTGGTATACCTTGTTGTCATCCTTTAATTCCACTTGATTGAGTTTTAGGATGTATTGGGCAGAGTTGTTACAAGTTGGTTAGGCTTTGGTTTCAATTCTTTGTTGCCCAGTTTTTAGGAGGTCCGCTTGAGCGGGTCTTCTTGCGCTCGAGTGGAGATTGCACGCTCCCAATTTTTTCGTGTCCCTGCAAAACTTCTGCAGGTGTGATTTTTACGCTCGAGTAGGTTTCTTTACGCTCGAGCGGTGGCGCTCGAGAGGGTACTTTGGCGCTCGAGCGGGTAGTACCTTTGGGTGTAAGTTCTGGGAGGGGGAAATCTACGCTCGAGCGGACTGGTTTTCGCGCTCGAGCGGATGTACTTTATTTTTGTGTCTTGGCACTCGAGCGGGCCTTATTGCGCTCGAGCGGACCTAGTTTTTTGTTCTTGACGCTCGACCGTTGTGTTTTTCGCTCGAGCGGGAATGTCATATATCAGTTGGCAGCTGGGCATTTTAAAATCACTTTTTACATTCTCTCTCTCTCTCTTACTTTCTAAAAAGACTTTTTGAGAGTTCCTCTCTCTAGAAACTCCCTTCTCTCTAGGGTTTGATCTAGTTAGAGTGTTTCCCTTTCCTTCGGCCTTTGTAAGAGTTGGGTTGATCGTCGAGGGCTACGCTTTGATCCGAGTATATTGAGTTTTGGAGCACGTTGAGTTTCTTCACCTTCTTTTCTTGAGCTCCGAATTTGAGGTAGGGATTCCTACTCACTCTTATGGGTTTTAACCTAGATTTTGAGCTTATTGTTTAAAAGGTTGATTTTGGGACTTAGGGTTTCAAAATGTGTTAAAGAGGGTTTCGTGATTTTGGACTCATAAATTGTATTTTGGGTTTCAAAAGAGTGTTATTGATGTTGGTTGTTGATATTTAGACCATTGGGTCAATATTGGGAAATGGAGTAGAAAACCCTAATTGGTTGTATAAATTAATTTGTATGATTAATTTGGGAAAATTGTGGTTATATGGAATTGAGTTGAAATAATGAAATTGGTTCATTATATGGTTGAATAGCGAAGTTAGATTTATTAATTGCTCACCTTTGAAAAAATTGATATTTTATCTGTTGGAGCTTTTATTATCTGTTTAGAAATAAGTCTGTGTGTTCACCAAAATAAAAAAAAAATTAAAAAAAAAAGAGATTTATCTATGTTTATCTTCATTTTTCTTTTCTTTTCTTTTTTCAATCCTTAGTATGCACATTTTCTTTTTGGTTTAAATTTTCAACACATACTCCCAACAATCACCAAATGAAAACACTTGTTTGCCACCTGAGATTAAAAATGAAAACACTTGTTTTCCTGTACTTGCCATCCTTGTCTAGATTAATCCCAAGATTGGATAGGAGAAGATTAATCCCAAGTAAAATGCCTCAATCTTAGGCCTATGTCATTCTAAAGATTAGAAAATATAAGTAAGCAAACTCCATTAAAGATTAAAAATAACATCCAACTCCCACTGTTTGTATCACCAATTTGAATATACCTCTATTTTTGCTAAACCTTCCTTGGCCTGTTATAATAAATTCACTCACTATTTTAACAACAAAAATGTAGAATTATATAAGTAGCTAGCATTAAAAAGAGAGGCATTTTAATCTTGGGACATTTTAGCGTGTAATGTTATAAATTCACTCACTATTTTAATTAAGTGAAATGGAGAAGGGTTTAGTATGAGTCACTGTCTCATATAAGTGGTTGGCCAGGTTCTAAGCCATTGATGAAAATCGTGAAATTGATAAGAAATGGAAATTGAAATGAAACATGAACAGAGTGGTCATGAAAATGGAAATGGGTTATGAATTGATTTATGGAAATTGAACATTTATCAATTGCTATTGTCTTAGTTATTGCTCATACTGTGTTTAGCATATCTCTGTTGGGCGTTGGCTCACCCTTTATGGGACATTATTTTCAGGTACAGGTAGTATGCCACCTCCACGGACATAGCTTGGATGATGATGAGAGTTGAAGACTCCTTTTGTTTATTTTGTTTGTATTACATGTATATCAAGCCAAGGGCTTATTTTGTGTAGAGTCAGTACTCTTCTTTTGTGTAACCAAGTGTTGACTTGGAAAGCTGTAAGCCCATAGGGCAATTGCTTTTGTTGTTAACATGTAATACAGTGTAAGAATTATTCTGATGAATAGAGATAGTTGGTTTCCTTTATATCAATGTATGTCTAAAGTGTTGGGTTTTATGTATTTTTTTTAAGGGCGTTACAACTTGGTATCAGAACGTACCGGGTTCGAATACTTTGGGTACGTGGAAAGTGATTAGGATCACAATGGGTTTGTCTCGCTTGATAGAGACTTAGATGTAATGTCATATGCTATGTGCTTAATTGATAACATACTTATGTGACTATGTGGGTATAGGATTTAGTTTCTAGGATGTTGATTGGATCCTTGGGTTTCTGTGAGTCTTGTTGGAAAAGCACTTGATCAATGTTGTTTCTAACCGGAACTCTAGTAACGTCTCTGGACTATCATTATCCGGAAATGAAATTCGTAAGTGCTTATGTGTTTATGTGCTTACGTGGAATGAATTACAGTTGTCCATACATTAGGACGCAAGTGTTTAGTTTTGGCACATTTATGAATGTGCTAACGTTCTTCGTTACCTTTATTAGGATGTCAGGACGAGGACGTGGTAGACGAGGCAGACGTGGTAGGCAGGAGATGCCTTTACCGGATGATATTCCGGCACAACAGGAGGGGGTTGGCTAGGCCAATGTGGCCGAGCCAGCAGGTCAGGAGGTTATAGGCGCTTTAGCCCGAGGGATAGCCAATGCTTTAAGGGAGTCTGTGGGTATTTTTCGAGCTAAGAATCCAGTTCAGGCCCAGGTTGTTGAGGCAAGGCCTTCCTTCTTGAAGAGGGAATTCTTCCGGTCCAATCCGGACGAGTTTGTTGGGGATCCGAAGGAGCCACTTAAGGCTGACGACTGGTTGGAACAGATAGAGAAGACGTTCGAGATGCTTGGCATCGAGGACGAGGCTTTAAAGGTGACCTTGGCATCCTTCCAGCTGAAGGGAGATGCGGGTCAATGGTAGAAGTACGAGAAGGGCAGTGTTGGTGGTGCATTTGAGGCGTTTGTGAATGCTTTCCAAGAAAAGTTTTTATCTTCAGCTGCTAGGGAGAAGCTGAGAGAGCAGTTTTGCCAGTTTAGACAGCAGGGCTTGTCAGTGGCCGAGTTTGAGGCTACTTTTACTAGTCTGTCCAGGTTTGCACCTGAACTGGTGGCGTCCGAGGAACGCCGTTGTTTTGAATTTGAGCGGAAGTTGAGGCGTGGACTCAAGTTAAGGGTTGGAGGGTCCTTTATCTGAGAGTACAGACGTTTGGTTGATGCTACTACTCATATGGAGATTATGATGCAGGAGGAAGACGAGAGGCAGAGAGGCTCTAAGAGGAGCCAAGATGGTCAGGGTGACGGCAAGAGATAGAGGGGTTCTAACCCTCAGCAGTCTCAGGGTGGTTTGGCTAGATCGACCTTCCCAGTGCCGAGTGCGGGCTCTGGAGATGTAGTCAGGGAGGCCTGACTTGTTTTGCGTGTGGCCAGCTGGGTCACAAGTCTTCGGTTTGCCCGCAGAAGGGAGGGGGTCAGCGAGCTGCTTCTTCTTCAGCTAGACCTCAAGGCCAGAGTCAGGGCAGGGGCCAGCCTTTGTCTTGCTATCAGTGTGGTCAGCCTGGGCACCTGAAGAGGTATTGCCCATAGTTGAGTGCTACTTCAGGAGCGTCTGGTTCTAGGCAGACGCAAAGTTATCAGCCAACTCAGTCTGTGCAGGCCTAGAGGGCCAATCCGGGAGCTTCGTCATCCCAGTCAGTGCAACAGTCTTTTGCTCCTAGAGGTGAGCAGGTAGATCAGGGGCCTACAGGGCGCGTGTATGCTGTTACCGCGCAGGATCTAGTACCGACTCTATTAGTTGTGAGAGGTACCTTCTTGTTTTGCAACTCAATTGCTAATGTATTGATTGATACGGGTGCATCTCATTCTTTTGTGTCTGCTGCATTTGCATCTGTTTTGGAATTGGAGTTGGCACAGTTAGCATCTCCTATATGTGTAGTATCGCCTGTTGGTGGTGAGTTGATCTTGAAACAAGGTGTTCGAGGTTGTGATATAGAGGTCGCCGACCATAGGCTTCCTTTTCCTTTCGTTGTCATGCCCATGAAGGGTTTTGATGTTATTTTGGGTATGGACTGGCTATCGTCATACCGGACTGTTATTGATTGCTACCGCCAGAGGGTCACGGTTTGTACCTTGAGCGGAAAGTGTTTCCATTTCTTGGGGGATCGGGTTGGTAGTGTGTTGCCACCGATGTATAATCCGCGAGGGCGGAATAAGCTTAGTGGTCTACTTGCTAGCTTTATGAGTGGTGAGTGTGACGAGACCCAGATTGTATTGCCAAGGGTGGTCTGTGAGTATTCGGATGTTTTTCCCGAGGATCTCGTTAGTTTGCCACCTCACCGAGAGATAGAGTTCTTTATTGATTTAGTGTCCGGCACAGCGCCAATTTCTATGGCACCTTATCGTTTTGCCCCAGCCGAGTTGAGTGAGTTAAAGATTCAGCTCCAGGAATTGCCAGATAAGGGTTTTGTTCGCCCTAGTGTTTCGCCGTGGGGAGCACCGGCCCTCTTCTTTTCGAGTTTCTGAAAAGAAGCGCGAAAAAGCCGAGCTACACTTTGCAATTAAGTCAAATGCAATGATGATAGGTAAAGTATCCTAAGGTCCTAAAAATACATACTTAAGTGTGGCTGAGAGTGGTTTCAACTCAAGTGTAGGTGGTGTGACTAAGGATGGTATAGTAGGCTCTCTACACAGAGGAGGAAGGGACTCA